TATCCTCTACTTCTTTTGTATGTTTGTCACTCTCTTGTGACCCGCTATTTCCGGGGTGCCTTGATAGTCGAAGCAGATCTTGTGCTGTTGAAGCTAGAGAGGTGAGCAGAGTAAGTCTGATTCCCTGTAAAGACTTCTCTGTTGACATCCACCCCTTGGCGCTCATATGACCTTATGCAGTTGCGAGCGCCGTAAAACCTTCTACTATAAAAAAATAAAAAGAGATACTTGATGCGAGATGACCAGTACCTGTACAATGAGACAGTTTCGCCGTGTCATAGGCAGAGGTTGATGCTAGGAGCTGACACACAGAAAAAACACTTCTCCCCACGTCACTGCGCTAGCAAATAAATGGCTTAACTCAAGAGTTGTACCAAAATGCAACAAGCCTTTTGTTTTCTTTGGTAGTACCAGATTCTATATATCTATCTTTTGGTAAAACTACAGCAAAAATGCACTGGTAGTCCCAAAAGATACATGGGACCCAAGATATAATATGTGAGGCAGCGTGGTGTTATCAGGCTTTCGTCAAAATAATCAAAGTGAAGAAAGTTGCATTTTTCAGCAGGTTTGTGAGTTTTTATAAAATTTTTGTTTTTTGGCTCAATACCTTTCATGTCCATTAAAGAACTCATTTCTGTGTTGATTTTTCTGAAAAGTGTTGATTAAAGGCACAAAAATGTAAATTTTCAGTTACCACGGACTCTTAAGCTAAGGAAATAACTAATCTTTGGCGGCCATTTTCTCACTAATTTGACCTCTGAAAACAGGTGACCCCCACCTCCTTCTTTCGCAAATATCTAGACTTGTATTCAAGATAAATGTATATTTTTTTCCACCCAAATAAAGACAAATTAACAAGCTTTAAGATGATACCAATAACTCTGCATGCCCAAAAATTGACGAGAGCCTGATTCCACCACGCTGCCTCACATAATCATGACAGGTTTTACCATCATCAGATGATAAATTCTCTAGTTCCACAGTTTGTTCCATTTACTCAACAATTAAGGAAGCAAAAATGAGATGTGCCATTTCACTAGCGCGGTGACAAAATTGTGATACTTCATACAACTCTAAACCTCGATTAAAGTACACAGTCTCTGAGCCCTTTACAAATACAACAGTTTCACATGAATACACAGTACATTGCCTTCTGACTAAAAATCTCTCACAATAAATCTCATTAGTCTTTAAAACAGAAGAACTGACTTTAGCTGACATGTGAATGAACAAAAAGATTTGATCTCTCTTTAACTTCTGGGAGAAGCGTTCCTGATCTTGGGGGCCATGATAAACAAATAACCTTTCAACCCTTGTTTCAAGTCTCATAGAGATATTAAAAGAAATTTCTTTTTGTCAGTTAATTACATTAAACTGCGAGCTGGAATGTACAGTTTTCAACAGATTTGATCAATATGATAGCGTATTATCATTCAAGCATTTATTTGTGACATCCAACTTGTACATAGTTCTTTTCTCAACAGGAAGCCAGGGCAGTGACTGCAAAAGAGATGTAGCAGAGTCTCGCTTTCTTTTCTGTAAAACTAAACACGCAGCATTGTTTTGGACAGTTTGAAATCTACATGTCATGTCTATAAAAAGAACGGAGGTATTGTTGGTCAACATACATAAATACAATACGTATATTGTTCCCCTTTAGAAATCCTACAACCCCTATCACATACAAAATATATACGTAAAAATACAGTCAAAGTTCAAGGTCAAATAAAATTTTTCTCTATGGCAAGTATTTGTAAACAAGACACAACAATAGTACAGAATGGTGCAGGCTAAAAAGTAACCTTGCGACTAAGTGGTCCTAGTAGTTCAGGCATTAAGTACCTCTCTCTACGTATAATACATTATATATATATATATAGAAACTGTTGTGCATAGAATATTGGACATTGTGTGCTTCCCCTCCTACCAATCTGAGTATCACAAATAAGTCTGTCCGTGTAGTAAATCTCATATACAAACACACACACACACACGCACACACACACACACACACAACATACATACGCCAAATCAACAGAAAACACTAGAAGGGGTCAAGCGACAAATTGGGCGAGTCACATCAATCCTACCGCCAATTACTCAATACATCACGTTTTTTTATGATGGATTAGACTTGTTCTTTATTCGACTTACTTACTGTCATGAAAATAAAAAACAGTTTAAGGATCACTCAGACGTTTTCACAGGATTTTTTTCGTATGATTAATTTCATAAAAGGATATCCAGTGTGGAGAGGCGGACCAAACTGTTGAACACATCCTTCAGCACTGCAAGACACACAGGGCCCTGAGACAGGAAACGTGGCCAATCCTTCTGACGCTGCAAGAGAAGCTCTACGGGCCGACAGATGAACTGAGCAGGACGGCCTAATTTATAACAGATACCAGACTTCAAGTGTGATGCGATCGAGAAGAAGAAGAAGAAGAAGACAAAAGGATATTCTACGAGAACTGTTGAGAGTTCTCGGCGAGTAACACACCGATTTTTGTTTTGTTTTTAAAAACCCGAACCAATCCAGTTCTTCACTTGACCCCTTCACTTGACCCCTTCACTTGACCCCTTCACTTGACCCCTTCACTTGACCCCTTCACTTGACCCCTTCACTTGACCCCTTCACTTGACCCCTTCACTTGACCCCTTCACTTGACCCCTTCACTGCTTTAGAGCGCACGAGACGGAAGTTGCCGGTACAGTACCAGTATAAAGGTTCACAGCCCCTGAGAGGACTTCGAAACAAACACAAGTAACGTAAACCAGCGACATCCTTCGACAACACATCAACAAGAGTGTTTACAACGCTACAACAACACGTCAACAAGAGTGTTAACAACGCTACAACAACACATCAACAAGTTAAGTTAACAACGCTACAACGACACATCAACAAGTTCACAACGCTACAACGACACATCAACAAGTTAAGTTCACAACGCTAACATTACCGGTATGTTTGTCTCTACATTCAACATTTGTATAATATATAGGATCTAAAAACAGGGAGCGGAGACGAACATTTGTCATGTGTATCATCGTGGTGAAATCAGGTGCTTGTCAAAATAATGAAATGAAAGAAACTGGAATTTTTCAGACAGTTTGTCGATTTACATTGAATTTTTTTTTTCCAGCCCAACACTTTGATGTCCATTTAATAACATATTTCTGTGTAGATGTTAGTGAAAAAAGTTGACCAATGAATAAAAAATATAAATTTGCTGTTTTCAATGACACTCCAGGTTCGGAACTCATCAAACTCAGACAGCCATCCCCCCCCCCCTCCCCCTAATTTCACCTCTGATCCCATTTGCCCCCCCCCCCCTCATTCAATGGCAAATATCTGAATTCCTATTCAAGATAGATGGGTACATTTTTTTTCATCAAAAGCAAGACAAAAAAAAAAAAGCGTTCAGATTATACCAATAACTCCATAGGCTCAAAAAATTGACAAGTGCGTGATTCCACCGCACAGTGACACATTTCTATTTTTTTCAAATCCTGCGTCTCACAACCTTCAAGAGCCACCGTCTACAGATGCTCAATTCCCCTTGTCCCTACAAGGCTGAGGGTCGAACCCCAAACATGAGGAAGGCAGTGCAGGCCCCCGTCAGAGCCAGAACCACCCAGCTGCCTTTCTGGGTCATCGGTTTGCTGAAGCCGTAGCCCATGTCCCACACCTGGGAGAGAGTAGGAGAAAACACAAACTTAACAAATAACTTTTACTCTTTTGTTTAAGTGAGAGAGGTTTTTTTTTAGCTTTAGTAAGAGTTTACGGCAATTGAAACAATGTCAAAGATGATTAGAGATGCTACAAGAGAGTAACAAGCACAAAAAAAAAGGAAGAGGAGAGAGGAGTTTTACGGCACATGCAACACAATTAGATAATACGATACTGTGTCATAAGTGATGAAAAATAGAGGTGTTATCAGAGAGTAACATTCAAAGGAAAGAAGAAGGAGAGATGAGGATGACAGTGACAGATGTTTGATAGGAGAAAAGGAACGAACTACACCAGAGCACCCGCCAACCTCCCACATACACCTGCCTCACCTATAATTTGTGTTTTATTCTCCAGTAAAAAGTAAAGTTGTTCCCGCATCCGATCCGGACCTTGGGGATTACCTTGTTAGTGAGACAACTTCCTGGGCCTTTGACATATTGTGGTAGGGTGACCAGTTCCTTTCCACGCCGCCTTTACTTCCCCAACTCGGAGTTAGGTACCCGTTACTGCTGGGTGGGCAGGAGGGGGCGAAAAAATCCGTGTTTGAACCAAGGCTCAAACCCCGACTTTCCGCTTCAGAGACGAGCGCAGTAACCGCTCCGCCATCGCACCCTCCTCTGGTATCACCTCTAATCTTTGATACTTTTAATTGACCTATTTGTGTCACTAGTGCCGTAAAGGTCAAATTAAAACTGAAGTATTGAGATAACGTAGTGTCCATCTTACAGGCCACTAAGACAAAGCAACGTGTTGTCTTCAAACACAGGGCTAACATAATAATAATAATAATAATAATAATAATTGCATTTATATAGCGCATATCCACGCTCAAGAGCATGCTCTATGCGCTTTACAACTATTATTACGCTAGCAGACCCTCTGAGAACACTCAGAAACATTCTCGGCTTCCGCGGAAGCATGCAGTGCAAGCTGCGGATTTCAAGCGCTCAAACACTATCAAACTGACAAGATCTTTCACTGTCTATAGCCGGGTACCCATTTCCACCTGGGTGAAGTGAGGAAAATTTGTGCAAAGTGCCTTTCCCAAGGACAAAAAGTCGGGCCCCTGACGGGATTCGAACCCACAACCTTACGGTAGCAAATCCGAGGGCCCAACCACTAGGCCACCGACACCACACCCTTGAGTTGTGAGCACAGGTCTTTGTCAGTAGTTCTGAGACAATCCGGTCTTATTTCTGCATCTAATTCTCTCTTCTCTCAACTGTTTAAGGGTAAGACTCGGCCCTCCACCATTTGGAAAAACGACGTATGATGGAATGTTTCACTGTGCAGTTCAAATAATTAAGGAGTCATTCAGAAGGAGAGGAGATCATCTCCACAAACCCATGCCCTTCCTCCCCTCCCCTCCCCTATGTACTATAAAAGACAGGTCTGACATTCTGTTGTCAAACATGTACAGTGGAAACCATATATAACAGGCCCGGTAATAACAGGGATCCGGTAATAACAGGGATTTTTTAAATCCCCGTTTTTTTCTACTCTTTGTCTCTATCAAAAGTTATCGGCAATAACAGGGCCTCATCGGAGCCCAACCGGTTGTAGCAGGGACAAAGGCTCGTTAACAATGTGTAAAAAGTAAGAGAGAGAGAGAGAGATAAAGTGACGCAGTGATGGAGCAAGCCCATGCAAGCCATGCCACTGCGAGTTCACGCAGCGTGTGAAGCGAGAGAGGGCTGCCGTGTGCAGCAGACCTCGATCAAACCCGAAACCTAGCAACACGCACGCGTAATGTGTCACCACCGATGTCAAGTGCAAGAGAAAATGCCTTTCAATTGGTAAAAAATACGAAATACTCCAGGCTGTTAACAAAAAGCAAGCTCCACTGGCAGAGATTCGTCGTCAGTTCGACATTCCACAAGGGTCGATTCACACTATTATCAAGGATAGAGAGAAGATAGTGGCAGCATACTCCAATGGAAAGTTTGCTCTGGATCGAAAGAAGATGAAACTACCCGATGCAGATGCTGTGGACCAAGCTCTTCTGGTGTGGTTTAAGGAGGCAAGGAGAAAGTTGGTGCCAAAACCCCTGTTCGTGGGTACTTGTGGCAAGGGCAACTACCCATGAATAAGTACTGCTGGATTAATCCACAAATGCTTACTTTCCTTGCATTTCTGATTTAACAGGGATCGGATATAACAGGACATTTTCTCTACTCCCACCGTCCCTGTTATATCAGGTTTCCACTGTATTTACTAATGTCGTCCTGTCTTGTTGTGTGTACGATGCATGACAGCATTTAACCTTAGTAACATTCACAGCCATTGTGAACGACCAAGACAAATTTCTCCCTGTGAGAGGAATAAAGATTGTCATTGTCATTGTCACTGTCTTTATCACATATTTGAGGCGTGCTGACAAAATGAGTTACTTCTCACAATCCATAAATGGAGATATTGGCCAAAAATCGACACTAGGGTCAAATTTGTAGATTTTCTATTGATGCCATATACTTTGACGATAACATGCCCTTCATTATTTCATACTTATAAATTGTAAAAGCTTCACCTATAAGCGTGATGTATCTATTTTTATAGGCCTCGAATCCGAGAAGTAACTCATTTTGTCAGCACGCTTCACATATGACACTTTCTGATGATATAACTGGACCAATGCACAGTTATGATTACAGAGATGACCTTGCCTTATCAATCACCTCTCTTAAGTAGGTCACCTGTACTAACAGCCACAGTCTCGTGTGGTCATTGTTATCGATCCAGCCCACTGTCTCGTGACACCCTTGCGTTCTTCCTACATTTTTAATCTGTCCGTAGCCGTCCCTGCCAAACACAGTCAATTTTACGACACGTCATCCTCAAAACTTGAGCTGGAGTCTGCTCGATTAATCGAAGGCTTGCAAGCAGCGGACGGCTTGCGCCAGAGGCTTGCGAGCAGGCTTGTGCTTAGCTTTGTCTACCGCTCGCTACCGGGGGGAACTTTCGGTGAGTTGTGACTCGCGGACAGTCTTGCTGTACTGTGTCGTGACGTCGCGAACTCTCGTGGCAGTGGGCTCAGTACATATTACAGAAGATTCTGGATATTTGCGTTGAGAGGCTTGCACCAAAAGCGCAATGTTGTTGTTTTTTTCATAGTCAGGTTGTAAAAAAAAAAAAAGCTCTATTCAATGCACTTAAAAATTAATAATGGATCGGCTATTCTTAGGATATAAAGGCAGAGAGAGAGACAGACAGACAGACAGACAGAGAGAGAGATGAGCTCACCAGATGTCTCATGCCTGCCACCAGGTGGTAGGCAAAGGGCAGAGCCAGGAGGAACTTGACACCGTAGACGATGGCCGGGCCCAGACGTAGCTCTCTCAGCTTAGAGATGTAGTCGGTGTAGGTGCCGGGCAGGCACAGCAGGGTGATGGAGGCCAGGCACAATCCTGGGGAGAGGGGGGGGGGGGGGTGGAGAGAAGGAGGGATGGAGAGGAGGGTGAGGGGGAAGGGCAAGGAAGGAGCAGAGGGGGGAGAGGAGGGGGAGGGGGGAGGGGCGAGGGGAGGGAAGAGGAGAAAGAGGGGGAGAGAGAAAAGGGAGGAGGTTGGGATGAGGACAGTTGTATATACCATTAGCACAACAATACAATAAACTCTCTAGGCCTATAGATGGAGAAAAAATGTTGAAGGCTGTTATTACAAATATGAAGTTTTCCATTCTCAAAGCTCAGAGAAGCTGTGGCCAAGAGGGTTACAACTTGCAAGTCTGGTCTGCCATTAGGAAGTACAAGATTTGAATTCTGGGCAGCTCCAAATTATTCCCCCCGCCTCCCCTCCCCCATTCTTCTTCTTTGCATTCTCCTGCTAGATCTCAGGGGTGTTTGACTGCTGAGATATTTCTCCACTTCCTTGGGATATACATTTGCTCTCAGCTTGTATCGTGAAAGGCCATCAGCTTCCATCACTCTCAAACTGACCTGCAAGGTGTAGATCTATAATACGACTTTGAGCATAAAGAGCAAACGTTTTACTTTTTGAAAAAAAGGTATTTCAAGGATAATTTATTTGGGAAACAGTCTCATTTTCCAAAGTTATCTTATAATCAAAATAATAATAACATTAATTATAAAAATAATAATAATAATCATCATCATCATCATCCTCAACATAATAATAATAAAAATAATAATAGTCGATGATGA